GCGCCTTGAAAATTGACTGGAGGGTTTTGTCGCTGCTCGGATATGTCCGTCGCCGAAATGTTCAGCTACATTCAGGGCTTCCTGAGCGCCGACCAGGACGTCAGAGAGGTAAGAACAGCGGAACAGCATGTAGTTAGCTAACTCAGCCGAGCTGCTTTTGTTTTTAGCTGCTCGCAAATGAGAGAAGTCAACAGGGACTCAAACATCACGTTTAAATAAAGATAATATTATTGTTTATTTGGCCTAATTATTACCACGATCGTTTCAAATATCTGAACAGACATTGATTGTAGCGTTAATTGACATTAATTGTCTATTTCAACTAAGGAGTTGTTGTTTTTAGGATATCCGAAAGGTGGTTCAGAATTTGGAGCAGACTGCCAGAGAAATACTAACGGTACTCCAAAGTGTCCACCAACCATCTGGATTCAAAGAAAGTAAGTATGTAACTCAACCTGTGATTGATAATATTATGTTGGACCATTTTTTAAATACTTACTGGTTTTCTTCTTCCAGTCCCCAGTAAATGTGCAAAGGCACGGGAGTTGTTCTGCACGGTGAGGACACAAATAGCTGATCTGAAGACCAGATTTCCTGTGGAGCAGTATTACAGGTGACAATCATTATCTCCGGTTCTTTCAGTTTGTGTCTTCCAGCGTGCTTAGTTGGTGTGATTTCAGATTTTGCACCTCTGGTTCCGTCTCTTATTCATCGTTTATTCTCCTACCTGTTCAGGTTCCACGAGCACTGGCGGTTCGTTCTGCAGCGTTTGGCTTTCCTCGCAGCCTTCGTCGTCTACCTGGAAAGTGAAGCTCTTGTCACTCGGGAGGAGGTGGCACAAATACTTGGGAGTAGGTACCAGTTTAACTGTTACAGCAAGAAAATCGCCTAAGCATCATTTATTTAATTTCCTGGGTGCCCTCATTCTCAGTTGAGGTTGTGCGAGAGAAGGGCTTCCACCTGGATGTGGAGGATTACCTGGCAGGTGTTCTGATCATGGCAAGTGAGCTGGTGAGTCTGTAACTGATTGCTAAGCTGTCACACTAACAGCACTTTAAAACTGGAAATTTAAGGCGTCGTCGTGCTCATTGTGTCAAATGTACTTGTTTTATTGTTCAGTTTGTTTGGATAAATTCCAGATGTTTAGCTGTAAATGATGATTCTTTCTAGCCTAATTCAAATCATCCATGTGATACCTGCACATCCTAAAGCTAAAAGGGATTTTAACTGACTGCAAACATTCAAGAGGAAACCATCTCCCAATGTTTCTGACATCCTAGGAAGTGTGTACCTCTGGATTTCCAGCTCAAATGCTCAATTTGTATTTTCTTTCTGCTTTATGTTACTGCAAATGAAATGCTCTGCTACGCAAAATGTCGTATCATGTTTTAGGCTCTTGATTATTATAGTCAAGTTTGATTGAATTCTTTGTAAATTGAAAAAAAACAACTGATACCTTGAACAATAATTGAAAGCCTCTGTGATAATTATTATAATAATTATGTCTTTCATTCGACTTCTTATTTGAAATCCTAACTTGACAATATTAACAAGTAGGTGTTTGAAAATGTTGAAAATCAGAATTAATGTCTAAATATTAGAGCCCGACTGATATGGACTTTTTGGCTATTGCCAATATCGACATTGGGAGGGGAAGGCGAATGCTCATAACCGATTTGTCCACCCCCAAGAATCAAAGTAAGCAGCTACTTTTAAACCTGTTTAACACTTGAAGTCATCTTCCTAATGTGTGTTCACATTTTCTACCCTCCATTATTCACCATAAAGTTATCAAGTGTGTTATAAAAATATAACTTAAACAAAAGATATGTCATTTCCTGTTCATTGTTTAAACGTCACATATGGTGAAGGTCTAATTAGTATTGACTGCAGCAGCAGAGTTTATTTGTCTTTGCAGAGAAGTAAAGATTTCAGACGAACAATGCATTTCATTGAGGACGACAGAGATAATGTTACTAACACTGATGTATTTTACCTCTATGTTATAGATTTATTGTTCTGGATAAAGTTTTACAAGACAATAGCCAATGCTAGGTTACCTAAATGTTAGCTTGCTAACCTGAGAGGCACGTAGCTAATGGCAAGCGGGTTGGAGGATTGAAGCTAATTTATTATTGATTTTTTTATTTATTATTATACAGATAAGTAACCATAAACTTACCATGCTCTGTTCAGCAAAATATGCTACACCGTGTCGCTCCCTGCTTCAGCTGTGCTGTGAAAGTGAATGGCCATGACTTGAAAGTAGTCTTCATGCGCCCTCTGCTGGATACATTGTACAATTACACCTTTTGCAAGTAAGGACACCGCTGGTTCCAGCATTTCAGGGGTGAAAATGATAAATGTTTATATCAGCGCATAATGGGACAATTATCACTGATACCAATATGTCCCCAAACGCCTATATCTGCCTAAAATATCAGCCCTATGGATGGATGGATGGATATCGATTAAGAACACTACAAACAATAAAATCATGCGAGCACCACAATGAAATAAAAAACACCTATGATAACATGATGTTTTGTAGTATATGTCACGTCTTGTTCGGCGTATTGTTTTTCTTAGTTTAGCATATTTCTTAGATCTTATTACTGGTTTTCTTTACAATTTATGCTTTTGTTGGATGTAACTGGGACCCTGTGTACACAGTTTCGTTCCGCCACATGCACCACATGTGATGAATGACAAAGAAAACCTTGACAAGTTTTCCCAAATATGCCTCAATAAGACCAAAGGTTGATTTAGTGAGTTTTTTCCTTTATATGTATTTATATGGTGTAAGAGGAGAAGGTCCTTGTTAAATGTGTGTTCTGCTCCTCTAGTCGCGGTTGGCTGTGAACAGTGTCACAGCAGGAGACTACAGCCGGCCGCTCCGCATCTCCAACTTCATCAACGAGCTGGACTCGGGTTTCCGTCTGCTCAACCTGAAGAACGACCCGCTGAGGAAGCGCTACGACGGTCTCAAGTACGACGTGAAGAAGATCGAGGAGGTGGTTTATGACCTGTCCATCCGTGGTCTGGCCAAGGAGCCAGAGTCCGGTGGAGAAAAGTAGCTTGTGGAGAACCTGATTGGCTGTGGGGGCGGAGAAGGGGGGCGTGGCCTCCGCCTCCTGCTGGAACTTCTGTATGGCTGCTGCAGATTGAAGACCTTCCCTCACCTGGAAGACGAGACCTCGGGATCCAGCTGAGGTCCCAGCAGCCAAAACTGGAGTTTGTGTTTGTGCCAACGGTAAATATCGGTCTGTCAGCAGAGATGGTGAAACGTCTTCATCCTTATTCAGAAACTCAACTCCGAAGGTTCGATTTCTTCCTGGATTTGAGAACGTGTCTGAGCTTCGTGTGGTTCCTGTCGTGTTGTTTTTATTCATGTTCAGCTGGACGTCCAACAGACTGCTGGTCATCGAGTACCAGTTCGTTCATCCAGGAAGACATCGATTGCTGTCTTTCTGTAAAGCTTTTGTTTGCTGTTCGTTTTTTTTATTGTTTTTGCAGAAATGTACAAAAAGTTTCAGTGTTTATCAGATGATTTGATACTTGGTGGTTTTGTACGTCTTCGGACTAAAGTATTGTTTCAAAGACATCCCAGCTAAGATCCAGGAGTCTTTATGAAGAGCGTTTTTGATGCAAAGACTAGAGAGGGATGGAAAACAGCAAATCTTTTAACAACATTTGATTTTGATTATTATAAATGACACTCTTGGAGCAAACGAGCCAAAGAAATGACATTGATGCACTTCACCTGACAGTAAACCTGTGCGAGTCCTTCTACAGTCGGGAACTGTTCAAACTGTGCCGACGATCGTCTGTTGAGCCATTTCATACTTTAGCTCGTGTGGAAGTGGCGGCGTCCTCGGGACCCCCACGTGTTTACGATACATGTTATTTCTTTCAACTAACGTAAAGTCTTAAAGGTTCGTTTTTTTTTCTGGAAACATCTTTTGTTTTTGTTCCATGTTTTGATTTTATTCCTCCGAGTGAAATCCCTGCGCTTGTTTATTCCAGTTCTGAGGTCCGATGGCTCCTTGCTCAGTTTGTGATGTAACATTAAAAACATTGATGACAAGACTGTTTAAAATCTTTTATTATAACTCACAATATATCACACTGGGGGGGAAAGATACACCAGGTCTTTCAAACCAAATGGAAACCAAACATTAGTAACTCGGCAGATGTTTTTCTTTTTGAAACGGTACAAGCTGCGCCTCCGCAGTGACTCGCTTCACTTTGAATGCTACTTCATGCCAAATGGAACAGCTGTGGTCGTTTTGGTTTGACGGTCCTGAAGTCATGAGCTCTGCTAGCAGCCATACGGATTAGAATAAAGTGCTAAGTTAACACCACTGGTAGAAACGCTACAAGTAAGACATCAGACCAGGAGCTCACTAAAGAGTTGAAGCCTGTTGGATGAAGACAAGATGGCCGACCAGCCTGTTTCAGGAGAAATGACTGAATTATTTCCAACTCGTCAGTTTTTAACAGTAAAAGCACGAAGGCACAACAGCTCATTGCTCAGAACACGGTTTAGAAATGTGTTGATGCTTTTTCTGCGGCACATTTAACAAGTGAGCAAAGAGTTCAACCTTGTCCAAAAAGCTTCATCTGACGGAGTTGTATCTGACGGAGTTTCATCTGACGGAGTTTCATCTGACGGTGTTTCATCTGACGGTGTTTCATCTGACGGAGTTTCATATGACGGAGTTTCATCTGATGGAGT